TTTATTTATTTATCCTTTTTTATTTATAAATAGGTCATTTTTGTCTTCCATTCATGTGTAGTTAATCCTAAATTCTGCTGGTAACTGACTTAACTGACTTAAACACAGTTCTCACCTATTTTCTTTTTTATCTTCAGGATGTAAACATCCTGAGGTTTTAGGCAGCTGAACTCCAGCGTGAGATTTTCAACGTTCGTCAGTGTCTTTTCTGTAGGGCTGCAGTTGGTGGAGGAGCCATCAACAGAGCACACTTCACACTCTGGTTCCTCAGGATTACGGCTAACGACCACAGTCGTGCTGGAATCAACAGTTATAACCTCTTTTCTGCCCTCTAAAGGGGGAAAGGAGAGACATATCAGTACGCACAAAGGCTTGAAACAGGGAAACAGCTACCAAGAATAATAATACTTACAAAGATTACAGTTTTAAGTTTTCCAAATGACTAAACTTTACTGTTAAGAACGAGTTTGTGTGGTGCAACCTTAATTTAGTGATATTTAGTGATAAATATCCACTTAGTAAACACATTACAACTAGGCTAAGTTTGAGCAGCATGACTAAATTCAACTACAGGCTTTCTTAAGAGTGTGTATTCAATAATTTCTTACTTAATGGTCCAGCGGAGGCCTGGAACAACATCGGTTGGACCTGAGCCTTTGGTTTAACTTGCAAAGACACAGCAGCTTGGTTGGGCAGGTCTAAACGAGTCACAGAACCACCTTGACAATACTGAGTGGTGCCCTTGCCGCTTGCTTTGTCTGTGGTAACCGAATACTGAAATCCGTCAGGGCATGGTTGTGACATCTCCATCAGTCCTTCTCCAAGGATGTCCAGACCCACAACTATCTTCTCGGGTGCCTTCAAGTCCCAGGTGAAGGTTCTGGTGAACTCTGTGAGGATGGAGGGTTGGGTTCCTACTGTTGTAGGGCTGCAGGTGTCCTTGGTGCACTCTGGATTAAAGTTAAAAGGCAAGAAAATATTAAGAATTTCAGCTCAATAATTTCTTTTTCATAAAATATGATCCAGTTTCACCCAAAATCCCTGATTAGGTTGTGTGGTGTTTGTAATCCAGTGGTTCCCAACCTGGGGTCAGGACACCCACTAGGGGTCGCCAAAGCTTCTGGGGGGGTGAGGCCTTCTTAATTTTAAGTGGTGTAAAAAAAACTTTAAAAATATTCACAATAGGCCTAAATCGTCTTAGTGTTTTGTTAATTTCTATGAAGAAAACAAAATTAAATTGTTATTTTTAATGTTTCAAATTTCTTTTTTTTTTAGACCCTGCATTAGAAAAGGGAGAACAAAACACTGAATCTGTTGAAAAAGAAGCCTATAAAGTATATATGATTGTTAAAAATGCAAAATGCAGATGAAGAATTGTATAAAAAATTGCTTGTTTTACACAAACTTCCTTATTGCATCAAGTATTTGGTTTCATTGTATAGTTTATCATGGGTCATCAGTCATTCAATCATAGAAAAGGGGTCCCTTAATAAAAATGTTGGGAACCACTGTAGTAATCAGTGAGGCCTGTCCCACCAGAAACACTCGGTAGAGAGCCAGCTAGCTAGCTAACTAATGAATTTTTACTCTGTATCACTAAACGTTGAAGATTGATTGACAGGTGAATGGTATTAGTTGAAACTGGTTAGTTCATGCTTATGTAACCACATGTCACATTTTATAAAAATATAAAAATAAAATACAAAGAAATTTAGTTTTTGGCATATATTTTTAAATAGGGGTACAAAATGACTGGGGATGTAATCTTAAAGGGTTAAAAAAGGGACTTTTTCAAGTTTTTTAAGTTATTATGACTAAGGTCAGACTAGAATGACGGGGGTTTTTGGGATGTTATCTCAAGGCCACAAGTTGTTATACAGAGCAACATGCATTAATTCATTTTGAGTTGTGTTCCTGACCACCAGGCCAATGTAAGTCCAACATTCACTCTCTTTTAGCTCCGTTTGTGGTCTCTAGCAGCTCCTGAACTCTGGCTCTTCAGCTGCTAAATAAACGATGCCAGTAAACTCACCAATGGTGCCAGTAATCATCACAGTGAACGCCTGCTCAATCGGCTGGGAGCAGTTGAACAGCAGTGTGACCTCCTCCTCGGGCACCAGAGACAGAGAGGAGTGGCAGGATGTCTGTGTGTCATTCACCCCGCTGACTGTACACACAGCACATTGATCCAACGGCAGCTCCGTGGACACCGTCACAGTCGAGCTTTTGTTTGGTCGGACCACCGTCTGCAAACATTCTGAGGGAACAGATCACAGAAAGTTAGCTGCAAATAGCTTAAAGAGAGAAGTATTGTTCTGTTTTAAATGCACATCAGCTGCCTGAGAGCATGCAGAAACGCATTCCCATATTTGGACATGAATCTTTGGATATTGCACAAACACATACTCACACAATATACAGTATTTCGTATTAGCTGCGAAATGAGCTTCAAAACTAGAGCTGAACCAATGAGCTAATTATTCGAAGTAAATCGACAGAAAATGAATCTGCAACTATTGTGATAATCATTTTCAGGTTATTTACAGCTAGCAGCAGGGCTGTAGGGATGGCAGGGACAGTCACTTTGGTTCAGGATGAAACATCTAAACAACTATGGGAGAAATTTAAATGAAATTCAGAGCAGAATTCATGGTTTCCAGACACGATCAGGTCATAATATTCAAAACTAATGACAGTGTGCAACACTTTATCCTACTTTCATTCCCATCAACATAAACATCAAACCTGTTTCAGCATCAGCATGTAAGCATTGTCTTTGTGGGCATGTTAGCTGTTGTGCCTACTGTTACACAGGGCATTGTTTAATAACAATTATACATTTTGCAGACTTATTATTAGTAACTCATTATCAGCAGATCAATCAGATGGGTGGACATCAGTTTTGTTCACACTGAGCAGAACAATGTCCGTCTCTCTTGTAATATAATGAATCAGTTCAACACCTCAGCAATATTTAGGTAACAAACGGAACAAAGCACACACAGAAACGGTCAGACAGTTTTCTGTTGACGCTTGAGCAAACAGAGTGGTTCCAGGCACACCTATCCCCATGTTGTGTAGTGATTAGACCAAAGCAAATTCATTGACTTTTCATTATCATGAGTCATCTGAGCGCTGAGTAAAGAGAGGAACTCAAGGTGAATCAGTTTTGGAAAGCATGGGTAACGTTTATATCGCAAAAGCAAACTTTTCCTTTAAGGGAAGTTGTACTTTATTATCCTTTTAAAAACTTAGATGATGCTGTTTCAGTTTCATCTGTGATCTTACACATCAGCAGCCGGTGGCGGAGTCAGGCTGTTTGAGGGGCAGGGGGTGATACAAACCCATAAAAAGTTCATCAGAAGGTTGTGATACATTTATTGTGAAACAGCTTAGTCAGGGTGAGGATTAGCACCCTTGAGGGCACTTTAACACATTTTCTCCACTGAAAGGGCACCCTGGAGGGGTCATGTTTTTATAGGGGCATCCCAAACGTGGGGGCAATGGAGGGGAGGAGGGGGTATCGACCTGGTATCAGTCAGGCTTTCATGTTATTTCTTTTAGTGACTTTGCTTTATTTAGAAATGAATATATAGTGTTAGCAACATTTAGTTTGAGAGGAAAATATCCAATTATGCTAAACTAATTATTAGTTATAGTTATATTATATTTAGTTTCAGGCTATTTTTACTTTAAAATCTTAAGTTTACATAATTATTTCAATCAATTACATAATTATTTCAATCAATTAGCTATCAGGTCAGATAAGTCAGAATAGTCCAAAACTTATTTTACTTGTCTTATAATATCATTTTTATGATTTATAGTATAATGACTTCTTCTTAAATAAACAAATTATAGAAAAAACAAACTAAACTGCATAAGTCCAAAACAGGAATTCACAACCTGAACTTGCAAGGACTTGAAAGCAATACATAAGAATATTGCAGCATAAATGTTGGCTAGAGGGCTTCTTGTGACAGAAAACAGTGGGTGTGTAGAGGATGTCACAGGGTTCAAACTGACACATTTAGTGGGAAAATAGAAGCTTATATCATAATTTCCACAAACACTATATAAGAGAATAAATTCACCCTCCTGCTGATGACTTCCCCCCCCCCCAGAAAATGAATTAGGTTAGTGAGGAAGAAAAGTGCAGAGTTTGAGCTAGAGAGATTCATATTTTATCAGCAGATTGCTGGTCAATCATTAATGGAGTCATGATGAATTCATGCCTCCAGGAAGCTCCATAAATGACTCATAAACCTTTTTGAAAATGGAGGTCTAGAAGTCAGGGCTGAAGCACTCAGACTGGATATGTGCTCCAGCCTTTCATCCGCACTGTCAAGTCAATCATACATAACGTTAATGTCCTCCATCATCTCTTAATGCATTGACAGAGCTTTTAACACTCTTCACTCCATATTTGCATTAGGTTTCACCTGAGCACGTTTATTTATTTATTTGTTTTTTTTTTTAAATCACAATAGTAACTTTTGTGTTTGACCCAATTGGAACACACTTGCTGCAATATGATACCAGGGCGTTTCGCGATGCTTTAGCGCATTTAACCAACTAAAAGCAATTACACCAGAGCAGGGAAATGGACAAAGCGTCACCAAACAATACATGAACATATGCTTCTCGCTGAAAGAGATCGTTATCCCACCTGATGCATCGAAGAGCGTCACAAACAAAAGTCCCAGGAGCGCGGAGGTCGCACAGAGCCGCATGTTCGCTTCAAAAAATAAGGATTTTCCAATTATAAAAAAAGGTAAGACGATTTTTAAAATAAAATCTTCAAATGCTGCTGTTTCTCTTCTCAAACGCACAGTCGCATTTCCATTCACTTTCCAGCGTTAGAGCGTTGACAGCCACTTCCTGCTCCGGCGTAGCTGTGCGCAGCGGAGGGCGTGGACCTCAGGTGGAGTTACCTGTCCAAACTTGACGGTTGAGGCGGAGCAGGGCCCTGCCGTTGTACCCTTGAGCCAAAGCACTGCATTGGGTTTGATACACACAGTATGTAATATAACACACGGGTTCTTATGGGACTTCCCCTCACAGTGTGGCACAATGGGTTGCCCTATTTATAAACAGCCAAACATGCCAAGGATTGTTGGCATCGTGCTGTGTATCCCCAAAACGAGGCATAGGAACGGGGTGTGGAGACAAAGTAGAGGTTGCTTTAGGTTTGAATATCCCCAAATTAATATAAGCCACAGAGGCTGATGAATGTAACTGCAAAAGGAATAAAACAGCAAAGTTAAATTCAGTCCCTGAAGGAATATTTGAGTTTAAATGAGTAATATGTTCAATATAATCATGGTTGTGCCTTGTCAGCTGCATGTTTTGAAGATGGAAATGTGACTGATGTGTGTTAGTATATTGTGAATAACACTCCAATGTTGCAGAGGCTCCCTCCTGCCTCCACATGCCTCATGACACAGACATTCCTGTGCAGAAACATACCTGAGGGCAGACCACTCACAAACACACCTCTGAGTTACATTTTGGCTTTTCATGACCTCACTAATTTCCCTTAATCTGGATCCAAAATGCCTACAATTAAGCCCAAATCCAACACCAGACAAAACAAGTCTTATTTTCCTTTATAATTTAAACTTTTTTGTCTTCTAAATGCAAAACTTCAATCACAATACGAAACAAAACAGAAATATATATGTATATGTCTTAATAATATTTCTGTCTTTGTGAGAGCACTTTGATCTCCAAAACACAATCACACACACACCTATTCAATCACAAGTGACGATGTTGTTGTTTTTTTTTGTTAAACCAGTCTGACAGCTTGCAGAGAGGGCGGTGTGGTGAATTAAGACAGCTTCAGTGAGCCTCAACAAGGGACCTCAGTGAAGAATTAGCAGCTGTCAGTCCCCTCCCCTCTTCTGGTACTGACAGCCAAACATGTGCTGTTGAGAGTTTCATGGACACAGTTTCTTTTCCGGTGCCTTTTGAGGGGAGTTCATTGAGTTTTAAACAGATGAGCCACTCTAACTATGAGCTCATAATGTACTCTATTGCATTTTGGAGACATGATAGGTTGTGTAACATGTCAAGTGACTGTTTATTGTTTATGACAGATGCTCAGTCAGTCATCAAAAGTAAATTCTTTTCATCATGTGGTAACATGTCATCATGTTTGCTGTCTTTCTTTCCTGGCCAATTATTTTCTCAACAGACCAATAAGAAAAAGAACCATAAAAAAGAAATTAATTAAAAACAGGAACAACAACAAAACACCTTTTAGATAAAAGCATAGTATGATTAAAATCAGTTCGGGGCTCCAAGCAGGTTCCAAATGTTATTTGAAAATGTTTGATTCTAGGTCAGGAGTTACCAAACGAAGGACCTGAACAGGCCACATGAGGGCAGTAACACAAGAAATATGAGCAGGATCAAGTTATAATTTGTTCAATATGCACAAACAGATAATACAGTAAAGAATACAGACGCACCAGTCAGTGAGAGGATAGTGCCCATTATTTAATGTAGACCTCAAAAACACTGTTTGTTTCACTGTTTGAGGCCCAGACTTTTCCTCCAAATATTAATGTGAATGTGTCTTCTTTCCTATTTTAGCCAGTTTTAATCTTCTATTTTAACTAGTTTTAATCCTTTTAAATCCTATGAATGTGTCTCCTTATATTTCGTTTATTTCTTGTCTTAATGTCTTTATGTTAGGTACTTTGAATTGCCTTTTGACCCTTTGGACTGACCCTCGACCCCTAGTTTGGAAACCACTGAACAAAACTTGTATAAAGTAATTAAAGTACTGTTTTTACCTTTATTTATGTATGCAGTATTTTCACATTGTTACACTGGTTATTTTTACTCAGTTAAAGGGTTTGAATAGGTTTTCCACCCCATACAATTCAGATCACTGGTTCTCAAACTGTGGTATGTGTACCACTGGTGGTACGCAAGCTGCCTAGTGGTATGTGGAGGAATATTGTTAATAAAGTAATTTAATTTTAAAACATCAAAATACTAGAAAACATTAAATAAAAACAATTTTTTTTTGTAATATTTTTCTACGTGGTCACGTTCGTGCACTTATAGTGCGAACAACAATCCATGATTAGTTACGAGGTAAAAGGCGATAAGTAATCTATGTAATATAGAAAGAAAACACTGCAATCATTGCTCCAAACGTGAACTATTATTATTATTGATTATTATTGTTGAACCTGCTCCTTGAACTGAATGGGGTCGACCTACGCTACTACATTTTAACGTAGGTCATAATGGTGGTACTTTTGGTGGAAATTAATATTTTCTGAGGTGGTACACGGTGTAAAAAGTCTGAAAAACACTCCCAGGTCCTATGATGACAATAATACCCATTTGAATTATAAATTGTCAATAACTGAACACAGATCCAGATTCAGTATCTAAATACTTGTAGTGTTTTATCTCGTATCCAGTGGGCCTCATCTGTTGCCACCCACTCAGCCAGCCACCTCGGAGGAGTCAGTGGGTCTGAAGACAGACCACAAGCAAGCGAATGCAACACCCATAAACCCAGATAGCAGCTCCCCTTACAGCTGTCTGCACCACACATAAAATTAGACCCCCAGACAGTCATACTGTAGGCTCCAGCATGCAGAGACAACTGGGGAAAATACTGTAGAAGATGGACCCAAGTTATAGTTCTAATCTTAACTTTGGTAAGGAAGGAATACACTGAATATTTACCTTTCCAACAGTCTTTTAGTGGCAATCTATTCCAGCACTCTGGCGACTTAATATAGTTCAGCATGTGTGTTGTCAGTCTTTACAGTATGCAAAGGTTTTTTGTGCTTCTTCTGTATTGTGTGTGGTCTGCGTTCAGGAAGCTGTACACTATGCAGTAAAGTGGTGTACGGCGAGGAGAGGGCCTGCCAGGCGATGGGACATTTATTCCACGACACTTGTTTCACCTGCAGCATTTGCAGTGAGTCCTCTTGATGTGAAAGGTGGATGTTTTGTTGGAGCCTCTAAAACCTGACGTTGTTCTTTTGTATCTTAGTTCATCACTCAAAACCTCAACTAATCTGCTTCATCAGGATGTTATCAAATGTCACATTATGCAACAACTTGTCTATTATTTCATGTTTAGGTAAAAAGCTCAGCGGCAAGCCATTTTATACAGTGTCAGGAAGGATCTATTGTGAGGAGGATTTTTTGGTAAGAACATCCTGTTTTAGCATTGGCTGTACACAGAGTTAAAGGTCCAGTGTGTAACATTGAGGAGGATCTATTGGCAGAATTTGGATATAATATTAATAGGTATGTTAGTGTATAATCACTTGAATATATAATTGTTGTGTTTTTGTTACCCAAACTTTTTCTCTTGAAGGGCCAAAACTGAAACTTTATGCTGGGCCAGAGGGCAAAAGCAAATGCCTATTGTTAAGATGCAAAATGGTACTAGGAATTTCCTGTAGAAAGTGTCACTCTCTCCGCCACACTCAGATACACTTTTCATGGAATCCGCCATGTTGACCGACATGTTTCTACAGTAGCCCAGAATAGACAAGTTTCGCGGACACTGTAATTTCTCCTACACACTTCACAGTCTGTTCTTCTTCCTGGGTCATCAAATATAGACGTGAGCGGTGTTCAGTTAGTTGCAATCTGCAACTTCACCACTAGATGCCACTAAATCCTCCAAACCGGTCCTTTAAATACTGTACAAACATATGTTTGTATCGAATTTTTACAGCAATCAACCAGACATGTAATGGGTAAATTCTTCTGTCATTTAATGTAGTACTCAGGAGTTCATCCATCTCCAGAAGTGTGTAGCAGCTGTGGGTATTTAATCATGGACATGGTGAGTATGCATTCATCTACTGTCTGTGCACATTAGTACGTATACAGTGTGTAAAGAGGAGCTAATTGTGCATCGTCAGGTCTTGCAGGCTCGTGGGAAGTCCTACCACCCGTCCTGCTTTCGCTGTGTGGTCTGCAGACAGAGCCTGGAGGGTCAGCCTTTCTCTGTAGACACAGACAGCAGAGTTTACTGTGTCAGTGACTACCACAGGTGAGTTTCTGAGATCTGTGCAACAAAAAATGGGCCAAGCCCTCTAATTCACACTCCAGACAAAGATGAAACCAAACCCTGCCAGACAGGCTACACATGAGATAAGTCACACCCAGAGTGACTTCACTGTTGAGTTTCTGTGACCGTTTGCTGAGATTTCTTCATGGTTTCAGGGTTCAAGCTCCTCGATGTGCCGCCTGCAAAGTGCAGATACTGCCAACTGAGGTGAGCTGAATTCATCGTTTGATTTACAGCAAGTACAAGTAATTGATACTTTAGTGTCTGAGTAATTATCATAACGATTTCCCTCCATTTGTTGGTTGTTGCAGGGATCCACAGAGTCTATTCGAGTGGTGTCATTTAACAGAAATTACCATGTAGAGTGCTTCAGTGGGGAGGTTAACCTCATTTGAGGACAGAAGCAGGCTGATACACATCTTTCCGTGTTTTTCTGCTGGTTTTGTTTTGTTTTGTGATGAATCTGTAGGATTTCCAGTCTGCAATAAAGTCGCTCCAAAGAGTTGTTTTGTGCTTTTTATTTGACATCTTTCTTGGGTAATGCTGTCATTTAATAGGTTTCAAACTGGTGACCCACATTTCCTCTTCATACTATGCAGCCTTTACTGCATTTTAGTGTAATGAAGACCTCCTCCTTGACCTCCAGGACGGGAGATGAAGCCTTTTTGGAAGTTATCCTCCTCTATTTTCTCAGTTTAAGACTGATTGAGGCGCTTTTGTCATGAAAAATATGTAATAATATAGATTTTTATTCTGAGCCTTAATCATGTTATTTGTATTTGTAGTTTGCTATGTTTTATACTTTATTGTTGTTTTGTTAATAATAACAATAATAATAATAACAATAATAACTTATTGTTATATAGCACCTTTTAAAAACAGAGTTTACAAAGTGCTTTGACAAAAAAATAAAACAATAGCAAAATATAAATGAATATAAAAATAATGAATACCAAAATACAATAAATAGAGCAGGATAGAAGCCATAAAAATAAAATATAATGAAAAAATAAAATACAATAAAGTAAAAAGACATTTTTTATAGAATGATTTAAAGTCAATCTCCTCGAAACAGGTCGTTAAAACTGCAGAGGAACATAATCAATCAGTATCCTGATTTGTAGTTGATGGTTGAAGTACAAGTGAAATTTAACCCACGTTGACAGATGCATGCACTCTGCCCTCACTGGCTGCACCACGCAGCAGCGCCACCGTGTGTTAATAATCGGTACTACCGCAAGCTTCCCCTCCCGGAAGAAACCACTGTGGAAGTTACTAAATGAAGAGATAACCGCTGATTGAAATGGCGTCAGTCACGGTGCGCCGCTGGGCTCTCTGTACCGCGGCTCTGCTTAACTTTGCGTTTGTCTTCATATCTGGTGCAGACTTCATTCGCTTTATATCATTTAGAGCCATTTACCACAACATCACCGGGGAGACGACGCTGTGTCAAGGTAAGCTTCCGTAACGTTAACGCCAACTGTAGCTGGCAGGCGACCAGGAGAAGTTAGTTAGTTAACTTTTAGTGGAAGTTTCACCCAACAGTTGGCTAATATTAGATGACTTTCAGAGGCCTGACACGTAGCAATTACTGTAAGAGTAGCTGGTGATAACATGAATGAACTTATGGTGTACAGTGAGCAAAAGTCAGCAACAACTCAACTGGCTTTGGTGAACTAGCTCCTGTGCTGCAGCACAAGCGCGTCAGTCTCTATGTAGTCACGACAGATAATGCTAAAGCATGAATGTGTTTTACTGTACTTGATAATGCGAGTAGTGGCCACTAGGGGTCAGCGCCCGGCTAGCTCAGTCGGTAGAGCATGAGACTCTTAATCTCAGGGTCGTGGGTTCGAGCCCCACGTTGGGCGAATTACCTTTTCTCTCTTCGAATTTCATCTTTATAGTTTGTTGGTTTGTTTTTAGTGGCGATTTTTTTAACATGTATATTTATCTGTAAATAGTGTTTTTACTTTTGGAACACTACATACTTTGTTAGAAAACCGTTACACCAGTTTAACTACAGTGTGGAGTATTTACTAGAAACACACCAACTGTTTAATTAAACTGATATTACCTTAAATTGAAAGATAAGGAGGATCAAATCTTCAGTTCTATTACAGTACAAAGGTCCAGGGTGTAATGAAACTCTAATTTAGATGTAAAAAAAATTTAAATTATACTTGGTTCGTTATCTTTTTTTCAGCATTGTATCTAATAACACACACATTTAACTATTACTATGTGCAATTGTCAATCTCAGACCATTTTGTTTATTTTTTACATGCTTTCTAAATGGAAGATTTTGCATTTTTGGTAACATGTTTTCCGTCATAAAATGTATTTTATGTCTAAATTGGAAATAAGAGTCACACAATAATAAAAAAATAAGATTTCTGAAGGATTCTAATCATTATATTTTACTGTGAGTGTAGAGTTAGAGAGTGGGAACAGGTTAAAATCATATTTTTTCATTGATTGTAGGTCGTTTTTATTAAGGATTTATGTGATGTATCTTCAAATTTCCCCCCAAAAATGGCCTAATAATTTAATATATTATACAGATTATTATTATACTAAAACTAACCCCTATTTATGCACGTAATATCCAAGGGACGGAAAAGACACAGACTTTGCAGAATGACCGACGTTACTGTGGCATGTTTAACGCTTGAGTGCTTACAAACAGTACGTGTGTGTTCTTTATGGATAACAGTGTGTTATTAGACTTGACCGGTTAGTTACAGTGTGCAAAAAGAGATAAACTTCATCAGTAAACCCTGCTGCCTTCCCCAAATCATACTTAATGTGTAGGTTTTTTATTACAGAATAAAACTAGTTTGTTTAGTTTGTAACAGTATGTACCATATGTGTTATTATGTACTCTTATATAGGACTCTATACACAAATAACTCTTTTAATTATTGTCTGCACTCTGCATCTTGTTCATATATTTTCTCAATTTTGGCTGAACAAGCTACAGCTTTACTCTAACTATTAGTTTTAATTTATTTGAATTTAAAAACTGAAATAAAGACCAATAACTGTACAAGTTATACATAATGACAAATTGTTTTCTATTGACTATATTTTAATGCTCAATGTTAACATAATTTATGACAATATTCAAACTCCAACTGTTTGAACTGACCTTTCTCCTCTTGTTCACCACACCTTAGACTCTATACCGTGGTCAGTGGCCCTGCAGGACAGCTCTGTCCTCAGGTCTCTTGTGGTGGATCTGGGGCTGCTGGCTCTCTTCACCACGCAGCACAGCCTGCTCGCCTGGTCACCTGTTAAACAGGCCCTTGGGTCAGTGCTGGGGGCCCTAAACAGGACGGCATACTGCTTCGCTACTGCACTGGCACTCCAGGTACAGCAACACACTCTCATATATATATATATATTAATGCAGTTTTACTGTATTTTATGGTTAAATTCTAACATGTTTCAGGTTTTCTAATACATGTTGTTTCCGTACACCACTAATATAATTATTCTCTGTCCTCTTGTGTTTAGATCTTGATGCATTACTGGCAGCCTGTGACTGGCGCCCCCTGTCTGTGGTCAGTGCGTCATGCACCCTGGAGTGTCTGGTTCCCTCTGCTCTGCTTCTCTCTGCACTTCTTCTGCTGGGCTGTCATCTGCAGCATCCTCATGATCTTTGATTACCCAGAGCTGCTGGGCATCAAGCAGGTAACCTGTGGCCTCATTTATAAAGGTTGATACGCACGAAAGAGAGCATCCTTTCACCCGTGGTTAGACCTGGTGCACACACTCACTGCTGTGCCCACCATTATTCTTTTAGTGTGGGTGTGGAATTGAACCTCTAACCCCAAATGTTGTACACTAGACAAACCTCACTGGGCTCAGATATAAAAATCAGTTAATTTAACAGTTAACTCTGCAATCCACAGGATGAATCCAAGGTTTAATACACTCATTTTGATTTGATACCAAAACAGCAACATGACGTACTGAGAAAAGATCAAATTCAGTGTAACAGTGATCTGTGACAGTGAGTATGAAAACCTCTAAAATGTTACGTAAATAGATTGACTTGTTATTGTTGCTGCTGCTTAACCTAATTTGTCCCTCTGGTCCCTCAGGTGTATTACGAGTGTCTCGGTTTAGGGGACCCCCTGTCTCACAAGTCACCTCGTGCCCAGCGCTTCCTGTCTCACCTCCGCCACCCGGTGTGCCTGGAGCTGGGAGTCGTGCTGTGGCTCCTGCCGGCCTTGTCCCTGGACAGGCTCCTGCTGGCGGGGACTCTGTCGACCTACCTGGCCCTGGCACACTCCCTGGACAAACAGGATTTAGCCTACCTCTGTGTCCAGCTTAAAAGCAAGATGCAGCTCTTGACCGAGCCACACCGGGGCAGCGCCGACACCAACGACCGAGACAACAGCAACCACAAGGAGAAGTGAAGTTACAGTCTTCTTATTGCTGTGATGTGACACTGCTGTCTTAATATAAACCACAAATATTGTTCTAAAAGTGACCGCTTATCTACTGTGCTAAATAAGAACAAACCTGCTCTGGCTATTGACTGAAAAATAGCAAATGACCACACTCAAACTGAATTCTACGGAAGCCGAGAACAGCCATGGATTTTTTTTTTATGCACTAAATTATATCGTGATAACGACTTATTATCTCGTTATCTCGATATAACAAAGATCGTTTTCTTCGTGATAACTAATTAATTAATAATGTGTTTGTCTTTGATTTCACCTCACAAAGAGCTGCCACAACGGCTTCAGTCAAGTAAAGAAACCAACGTACAGCTGCTATTCGTACCGCCCAGCCTACAGCACAGCCAGTGGGCAAACGGAAAGCCGTCTCGTGGCAGCTTTGTACCAAAAGTTTTGTTATCCTCAAAAATAGCAAAGTTTGTTGTTCTCGAGACTACTATTAGATTCTATTTCGTTATCTCACATAACGCAATCGTTATCTTGTGTCAAAATTAATTCAATAATGTGTTTGTCTTGACTTTAAACTAACGCGAACGGCTTCTGTAGCCACTGGCCGTAGCTGTAGCCGACCGGTAAGTGACGGAAGCCGTTCGTGGCAGCGCATTAGTTTGAAGTCAAGACGATCAACGATCTTTGTTATGTCGAGATAACGAAATAATTAATTCGTTATGTCGAGATAACGAATTAATAAGCCGTTATCAAGAGATAAGCATTAAAAAAAAAAAAAATCCATGGCCGTTCTTGGCTTCTGTAGAATTCTTTGCAACTTGACACTGTTTTTTAGAATTTTATTTTCACTACATGTGGTTACAGAAAGGGAGAGTTTTCTTACAAGAGGAGATTTTTTTATTCCACCATTTTAAAACACAAACAAACTCTGCTAATGAGGTTGTATCAGTTTTTAAAACGTGGCTGGTGTTACATTGATTTTTAGATTTGTTCATCATTGTATTTTAGTTATTACACTGTTGCATTCAATGTGACCACTGAGATTTCACACTGGCAAAACCGCAGCTTTATTTGTACACATTTTGCAGCTATAATGAAAAACAAGCCTCATTGCATTTCCAAGATTATGAATGTATTTTCTTTATATTGTGTCGGGGACACTTCAAACAGACCAATTATATTCCACTGGAATCTGAACAAACAGAATAAAGTTGGAAACCACTTATTAGCAGAGAGACCAGAATTTTCCTTAACAGGTTATTAATTCTTGTTCTTCAAGTACTGTAATCTTTGATTCAACATGTATGAGTTGTCCCATGTCTGCATTGTGCCCTTACTGTAATGACAATAATAACTGTAATGTAATAAGTTCTATACTGTCTGTGTTTTGTTCTGTTTATATCTTCATATCAAGTCTGTTCTTTATTTTTAAGTTGCACCAGTTTGAGAAGCTGCTTTTGGTATATTTGCATTCATTTATATGAACCTTTCATTCAAAGTGGTGGAGCAGTTATTCAGATATTTCACTAAAAGTCCTGCACTGAAAATATTACTTCAGGAAAATAGTCCCTGTGACTGTTATAATAATATAATTGACCATATAATTAACATTTCACTGTTGCAGTTGGGTGAGGTGGAGTGGAAAAAAGTCCAATACAGTTTTAGTGAGTGGGGGCATATTAGGCATCTGGAACTGGATTTGCTAATTAAAGAAAATAATTGGATGAACATATGCTCAGGTGCCAGTTTATTGGGTAAACTTAGCTGAAACTAATGCAGTCTTATTAGTTTAGTTTATTTGTAATTATCTTAGATACAAACTAATGGCAATTCCTAAGAGAGACAAACGCATGAGGCAGCCATCTTGTGTGGACATAGTAAAAAGAGTCACCCATTGACAGTATTGATGATACAACAGTCCTGATATAAATCCAACAATTTAACTGTATAATCATGTTGGAGGCTGCAGTTTGTGGTGCTGTTAATTTGTATTATAATTACAGCCTTTTCTGTTATTTAATTGGGTGGACAGAATCTGGAACAGCACCACAAACGGCAGCCTCCTAATTGACCATACTGCTGAATCAGTTCCAACAAAAACTGACAGTAGAGATTATAACATGGAAATAATTTGACTGGAACATTAAGATGATATTTTTTTTTTCAGTGCCCCCCTGCTTACATTAAAACAAATAGTTGGGAAGTCATAGTCATATTGGCTGAGCCCTCTAAAAAAAGAGAATATACAAGAAAGAAGAAATTATATGAATAAACTGAACCTCTAACTGCATGTTATTTCTTATCAAACATTATATCAAACAAAATATACTTAAAATTGTACTTTTGTTCATTAAGATTTGCAAAATTTTAACACATAACTGCAAACCTGCAGAGTAAATATGTATTTGTTTTATATATTATGTATATTTTGAGGTGGATTACTGGATTTAATCAAGTTTTCTCTCTTGTAGAATTAACTTATTATTGACATGTATTAGTAATTAGTTACACTACTAGTTTCTAGGGCAAGTAATATAGTAGTAGTAGTATTACTAGTAATGAGTTGCTGCCCAAACCACTGATTATGAGGAAGGTTGATCAGGTCTGGTCTGTTTCAGGTAAACCTCCGTCCCTTCCTCCCCTCCTCCACCACTTCGTCTCCTCCCCCTTCCTCTTCTCCCAATTAGCCCTGCGGCACGGAGGGATGAGTCGAGGGAGGAGGTGGGGGGTTGGAGCCCGGGCAGACGGCTATGTTCTTTAAACGCCTTTTCTCAGGTCCGACAATATGGTGTGTGCCACTAAACTCTCCTGACGGAATTTAATGTAATTATCGGATTACAGCGCTGCCGCTCTGAAGCTGGAAATATTTACTACTATACCGACGACGGACGCGTTCTCATGCTCTGATGCACTGTCAGGTCGTGGGCTGAGTTGACTGGGTGGTACAGAGTTTTTTTTAAACCCAACGTTTTGACAGCATAGATTCATCTGTTGGTTATTGCCGAAGGGGATTTCCCATCGAGGAGTGGAGCACAAGTGGAGATGACAACTTTAAAGTCGAAGCGGATTTTGTAATATCTTGGCTAGAAAAATAATCTCTGGGTTTCTGGTGAGTTTAATTGAACATTTTCATTATAAATATTTCACTAAAGCAGACTGGGATTCTCTGTTACATGTGCATAATGTGCATGATATTTTGATACATTTTATTATATTATTTTGTGTTAAAGATTAAAGTTGGACTTAGTGGACAACAGGTAAACTGAGACTGCAGGCTAGTGTTGAGAAATGTTGTCCCATGCTGTGATTCTGCATTGATTTGCATATTTATTTATACTATTAAACACTGAAAATACCTATCAACTTCATATTACTCCCCTGCATTTTGGAGCTTTCACTTTATTATGTCCCAGAAGTTCAGGTTCGGGTTATATACACCTGAATTTAACACAATTTTAGACAAGTGGGAGACAACTGATTTTGCTTAATCTTTTCTTTATTTGTATTCCCAGAGGCTCTAAAGACAAACGCCATATTGTCCAAAACCCGGCACCTTTTCTGTTATGTCTGTCTCCTCTCTGCCGGAATGGAAGCAACTCCTCCTGGAGAGAAAGAGGAGAGAAGAGGAGGAGCGAGAGAGGAGAGAGAAACAGGAGGAAGAGAAGTTTGCCAACATGCCCGCCTGGAAGCGAGGGATCATCCAGCGGAGGAAGGCGAAGCAGGACAATTTGGGTGACAGAGAAAAGGACAGAGATGTCTGTCTGCTGCAGGTGGATGTCAGAACTCCTTCTGATGGTCTGAGTGACACAGACAGCTTTGTAACGGTCAATTTGGGAAGTGAACTGTCACTTAGTCCAGATCCGGGGCAATGGCTGGATGCAGACCTCAGACCAGTGAGTCAGGTGTCTGTAGAAACTATAGTTCCCGTCCATGAAAACCCATTTATTCGCACCCAGAGTTCATGGAAGAAGGGGAAGGATGCAGAAGTAGGGAACGAGCCGGAAGCTAAAGAGAGGGAGAAAGACAAATCGAGCCCCAGGAGTCAAGATGGGGAGTCAGGAAGAGGAAGAGATATAGAAATGAAAATAGAGAGATTCAGAGATTTAAGTGAGGGCCGGGAAAAAGAGAGGGGCAGGGACAGGAGTCAAGGAAGAGAAAGAGAGAATAGCAGGGAGGGATGGGAAAAAGATAAAAGCCAGTGGAAAGAGTCAGCAAAAGATGCAGTCAGAGAGCGGGAATTCCTCAAAGTAAGAAAAGACGAGGAGGAAAAAGAAACCGATCCACCATCTAGTTCGTTTTCTCCCCTTGTCCCGTGTCTTCGGACCATCCGAGCTGACAACATCATCATCATCGAACAGGACAGAAAAGGCAGCGACGAGAGGAGGGGTAGATGGCGGGAGACGGAGAGGGAGAGGCCAGAGGAGGACCAGCAGGGGAAGAGAGGGATGAAGATGGACTTGAGGGAGATTTTGGCTGGAGGGGGAAGTGTCACTGAGATCCGAGCCTCTGAGGTTCTGATCATAAAGCCCTCGGCAAGCCCTGAAGAGAGAAATCCAGCAGGAGGAGGAGGAGGAGAGAAAGGTTCGGGTAGAGAGGATGGAGAGATGAAGAGCAGCATGGATGGAAGGCGGGAGAGTATGGGCAGGGAGCTCAGGACAGACATGTCCTGGATGAGAGAAAAAGACAAAGAGAGACCTTGGGGCCAGGCAACAGTTATTAAAGAAGACAGGAAGGACAGCACGGATAATAGTATTGTTGACAGAGGAGGGAGGGTCAGCCAGCTGCTGAGTAAATTCGGAGAGCACCCCAAGCCTCCATCTCGATCAAAAAGCTCTGATAATTTCCTCCGGCCTGGGAGGAGAAAATACTCAGGAGATGACGATGACCAACTATCCGAGGCAGACGCGAGGAATATGCTGTTTAAAGGTGTGCCGAAACGCTCATTTAGCTTCTCTGATCGTGTCATCTGTTCTAAAGAGAATGGTTTAGATGACGATGGGTATTATGAGAGAAAACTACGTGAGAAGATGCATTTAGACAAGAGTGTAGCGCTGTGGGGCTTGGAGAAGGACACTACAGCAAAGATCAAAATGGGGTGCGCACGACTTTTAGATAAAGACAGGTTTGGAAAGCACAGAGAGAGGCAGTTAAAAAAGGAGGATGAAAAGGGGGGGCAGAGGAGCGAAGTTAAGAAAGTAGAACCCATTGACACGAGGGCTGCGGAAAAGGCAAGTGATGCAGATGGAGATGAGGGATTCACAGTGGCATC